GGGTGGTGGGGGGGGGGGGGGAGAGCGGGGAGGGGGGGGCGGGGGCGTTTTTTGTGGTAGTTGGCTGCCTGGCAAATGGTGCATCCTTTCTAAACTCTGCTGACCTTTTCCAGAAGTGGACACATGTCCAAATCAGGTGCAAATACACTGTGACTCATTCATTTGCGTGCACGTGTGTGTGTGGGTGGGTGTGTGTGTGTGTGTGTGGAACGACTGTAAAAATATAGTATCATGAACAAGATTACGTACAACTGGGCTGCATTTCATAGTGGTGCTTAATGTCGTTAAAACGCAGAGTATTTATGCTTGCTTAGCTGTGTCAGAATGTTAGTAATGACGGTTAACTAATTTATTTTAATTAAGTCTGCAAAGAGTCTATATGCACAGGTCATTTTTATGAAACACAGTATATTTTCCGAATTTCTGAAGAACAATCATAGTTTCTGTATCGAGCAAAAAAGATTTGCTATATTAATGGTTAATAAGTGGGTTTTAGTATTTTTCTTGTTTTCTTTAAATTACACACGGGTTTCAAGAGCTAACCTACACACAAGTGGAAGTGGAAGCCGTTACAATACAGGGCAGCATTAAGGTGACCATAAACACGGTCACAGAGAAATAGGTTACCTGCCCAACTCCACACACAGCAAGAGCATTTGAACAGCAAGCTTGTTCTTCTCAGTCCTTGTTGTGCCTTGTTACTTTGGGTGCTACAATCCAGCCATGGCAGCCAGGTTCACAAACAACAATGCCAATGTCTTTCTTTACTTGTTTTATGTGCCAGCACACTCACCGAGACGATGACAACACCAAACAATATTCTCTTCCCTCTCGTGTCCTGATCAAGCCAAGTTCTCGATTCTATCAGCTCACGCCTCAGTCGATGACGCCATTTAGTCTCGCCATTTCATCCAAGTTGTCATCCACAGGACTTCACTGTTTCCTATAGTTACAGTGTTACGACTAAACTTCACGGTGTGACAGAATCAAGTGGTGGGTATGGGGTGAAACCCAGTTATTGGTTCTGTCAAAGATAGAGGAGAAAAAGTAAGGCAATACTGAACATCTTCCTGTACTTGAACGTAGGATTCCTCATCTTTATTACGTTTCAGCAAGCTGAACCACAACAGCCCCCAGGTGATTCAGCAAGTTACAATTCGCAGTTCGGACTGAGCTCAAAAGCGTTAGTATTGAACTGTTTGATGGATAGTCTTAACAGATGCCAGCCACGATACTGAGCGATTTGGTCAATGATTGTTTTGTACTTTTGTCTATGCCTTTACATCTTCTTCTGTCTTGCAATGATGAATGATTTGTAGTGCCAAGACGTAAACTTTTTTGTGTCGTTTGTCCTGTGTGAAACAAATACATCCTCTCGCCAAAACAATAAAGCCTGCAGTTGGATCAAAACACGGAAGAAGTGAATGATGACAAAATGCGCAACAACAAAAAAAGAAGAAATCATTTATGTTGCATTTTCTTGCAATGGAGTGATGAAACAGGCCCGATCACCGATTCTCTTTTGAATAACCTCATTTCCTGGTTTTCCCACCACCTCCCAGCATGCCTTTAGAAGTCATTGTGAGGTGACCCTCAACATTTAAGCATGTAAGTGCTCTCGACCGCACAACAAACCCTCTGATTTCTGCATTAATGTGTAGCAGCAGGTCATTGTAGTGTTTGACTTTGTCTGAGTCTGTACCTTTGTGTCATGGCCATCTGTTTGACCGCTGGATCAGTAAGTTCAGATGGTAAAACGGTGCATTTACTTCTTTCATTTCTGTTGCTGACCTGGTGCTGAATAAATACATTTAAAAAGGTGCTACCACTGTGGACTGTGGTCCACTTTTTAGCTTTCTGATAGCATATAGCCTTCCGGGTGACTGAGAGGACCTGCGCCCCAAAAACTTGCAGTCTCAAAATGTTTAAGAGCTAGCACCTCAAATCCACACAGTTTACAGCAGAACTCAACTCTCAATGGTGCCATTTTGATTTTCCAACCTGCACAAAAAAAACAACAACAGAGATTTTCTGTTCATATTATGTTTAATATACTGGTTTCAGCATACAGTATGTTTTTGTTTTACTATGATTCAGTCTGCACTAGAATTTCTTTCTTTCTTTTGTCTGAGAGAATTAAATTAGCCGATGATAAAATGCATCTTTTTGGCAAACGCAGAGGAGCACAAATGTACTTCTGCTACTGGAATTTGGGTAAAAAAAAAAAAAAGATATATATATATATATATATATATATATATATATATATATATATATAAAACGTGATTGCTGTGTTGTAAATTCCTGTCATCTATATGTCCTTAATCTGTGTGTATCTATTTTTGTTGTTATTGTAGAATTGAATTGGTTGTAATATTTTGTTTAAAAGTGGATTTAATATTCCAATGAAACGACTATGGTTGTCATATTAATTGCTGCTGATTTCTGAAATTGTTATCAAAGGTGTTGGGAAATATTGCTTTGTTTATATTCAAACAATTTCTAGATTGTGTTAGCTTGTTGGTGTATTTCACAAATCTATCAGGATGATCCCTAGACTATATGATTTATCTGGGGTATTCCAAAAGTTGGCACAATGTCAGTAGGCAAATTGGCTACAATCTGTAGCATATATATGAAATTGTACTCGTACAACCTATGTTGTGACTGAGAACATATAAGGAATGATTTCTTTGTCGTTGTTAAATATACAATGTAAGTAAATTGTTTCATGGAATCCCCGTTCTTTAAAAAAAGCAAAACTGATGTCCTATTTTTGGGAACAATATGAGTATTACTAATAACATATGGTGCTACGGTTCTTTTTGTATGTTTTTGTTTTTAGATGAAAAGAGAAATATTATGCTGAAAATGTAATGTTAAGCCTTACTGTAGATTCATATATCAGACTGTTCATCCCAGAAGAGAAAAATAAATATAGTATTTGAAAGTGCAATATATATATCAGTGCTGTGTATTCTCATGCACGTTTCACTTTTCAACAAATGAAAGGCACGCAGTTGCAGTGTATGGCCTGCAAAGGTGTATGATGCGAGCCTATAGAGAATATGTTCTAATATAATGCTTTTACAGTAATAATGTTAGCATGTGACGAGTTCAAAGGCCTGCACACTCACACAGGTGTTTTCATTTACTTTGATTATACTTCTGCTTATTGATGTTGAGTCATGCTGGGGATTACTGTATGTGATGACACAAAGCTGATGCACTAATACAAATGATAAAGGAGAGTGAAGAAACAGACACATGACAAATCAACGTGAGAAAAGGCTAATCAGGTACATAAGTGAAAACACCTGTGTGGTTTGACTAAGGCTGCGTAGGGACTTTTAACAGGGCTGCACTAGATCAAATCATTTGGGTATTACTTATATTTAACTTACAGGGCTGTTCTAGGGTCAGTAGACGATGAGGATGAGTGTGGGGTCATCCTTTGATGGGCATATTTTGCCATATCATTCACTTTAAAATATACAGCGGATAGAGGGGTTACAAACACCTTTATATTGTACAGAAAAACAAATGATGCCCCACAAACTAAAAGACAAGGTTACTGAATAAGAAATCCTGATTCAATACATGTAGTTTATCGATAAAATTAAGAAGTCTTCTAATGAAGACCCTGACTACTTAATAAAAATAGACTGGCGCTATACCCTTCACCTGCTTTATGTAGACAGATGCATAATTAAAAAGTCTCTTGTCAGGGCAACAAACACATTTTGACTTATCTTAGCAGGAAAGCACATTTAATAACAGCTGCATTTAATTTAGCGATAGCTCAAGAGGTAGATATGGCTCACTGGGACACTTACTCAGAAAATAATCACCTATGCTTTTTCTGATGTTTTAAGTAAAATGTCAGCTGTAAAAAAAAAAAAAAAAACTACATCAGGCCAATTGTTTATAAAGTTATTAAGTGACAAACAAAAAAATGAGATTTGGGGTTTTCCTGAGGAGAACTGAGGCAACATTTCAAACTCTTCAAAAAATGATAAGTTGCCATAAAGTTGGTTTCAACTTCAAAACAAATAGATAAAAGCATTTAATAAAAGTTAGTCTAGTCTCTTATGCATTTATAGCTAAACTTATTTGTTCTGAAGTGAGCCTCTGTCATTCAACACTGCCCATAAAGTGACACTAAACTAGGCCTTAACCGCTTCGTCAAACAGCCTCTGGGGCGTTATCACTGTATAAACAGTGGCAGCTGTTTTGGTTTGTGCAAAGCAAAGCATGCTGGACCACAGTTTAACGCCCAAAATGGCGGCACGATTGAAAAGTTTTGCCTGTTTTATCCGAGTTTGTCTTCTTTACAGAGTATTTGTTTAGTTGTGTTAGCGGCACTTAAGCATACCGTTTTCACAGTGGTGGCACGCCGGGATTTGATCTAGTGATTGTCCAATAAGGGAAAAAATTAGGATGGCGTTTTGCTATCCGCTCAAATTCCGGCATCACTTTACTAATGCTAGGCTAAGCTACTCTAGGCTAACAAGCTAACTACTTTCAGATGAGTGGTGGTGAAAAGCTTCGGTAGCTCGCGTTAGTTATGTCTTGTCTCACCTGGATCTCCACCCTGGATATGAGGAAGAGGGTATTGCCATAGAAATGGAGGATGATGTGAAAAAAGTGAAAAAGGTAAGTCGAGCAATTGACACAAGCTAACGTTACTTTTCACTGCAAGTTGACAAGCTAGCAGGCTAAGTTTCCAGCAAGTCAGACTCCGGTTAGCTTAGCGGTTAGCTGGCTAAGTTAAGACAAATATCAAGTAAATATCAACGACTAGGGGGGCTCAGCAGTCACGTTAACACACTGACAGATCTAACGAGTTTTCAATGAACCGGGAGAAATGTGTAATTTACATATAGATACTAAAGAAAGGTAAGGCGCAACAGATTGAACCCAAAAGATCGAGAAAAACGTTACACGTTACGATACAACGTTACGTTACTGTCTCGGCTCAGGATTACCATGAGCTTCAGGATGATTTATGGTTCAAAGTTAGCTTAATGTCAACTTCAACACACTATATTCGCCTTGTTCGTTTTGTAGTACCGGTGTGTTCAGTTGTGGTGTGTTAGACGTAAAGTACTTTAAAGGAAAGCGTCAGCCATCGTTGTATTAGTTTGTCTTCATGGTTTATCTGTGGTAGGATTTTAAACAATGTTTTGGGTTATGAGGGATCTGTGTTCAACATCAACTGTCAAAGGCAGTGGTTATCAGTGTCAGTCATGCTGAAGGGAATCAGCACTCCTTGGTTGTACCAACCGTCCTGCTCTCTCTCACACACATACACCCACACACACTGCCTAATGATCCCGTTTGATAACAAGACAGATCTGTACGTTCAGACACACAGCTGACATTCCTTTAATCTTATGTGTCTTGGAACGGACACAAGGGACATTTCCCTTCTGTTCTTCTGGTCAGCACAGGAGGAAGCTGAAGGGCAGGACGTGACACAGACAAGCTCTCACAACCTGAGCAGTGAAGTGTCTTTAGGTCAACAATCATCATTGTGCCGCTCCATTCCATCGTTTGTTTCTTTTCATGACAAAAGGCACTAATGTTAACTTGCCATCTAATTCCACCTCCTCTTCGATGTGAAGGGAAATCTGGACGGAAATTAAGTGATATCCTAGTGTGAAGAGGGTTTGTTGTGGCAAGGAAATGTTTTTGTCAGCTATGTTAACTCACCCAATCTCTGCTCATAGTTTGATCAGGCAAACGCTTAAAACTTCCACTCCGTAATACTTTATTACTAATGATCAGTGGTCTGCTTGGGGCCACAAAATAGGAGAAAATACATTTAATCACTTGCCTAGCAGCGTTTTAGCTTTTTTTTAAATAGTGGAAAAAACTTATTTTTAGCCTTTTTAACGTCAGTAATTCATGTTTTCAGCTTTATGAAACCGGCTATAGGTTCAGCACCTACTGTTCATCTTTACTTTCAGGCATCGGTGTCAACAATGCATAATGTTCTGGTATGTGCCACTTGGTGGTGATAATGAGCAGCATTTGATGTGTTTTTGATAACCTATTCTATTATTACACAGGTTCAAGTGAAAGCTCAGGCCTCGTCATATAATATGATATTGTTACTTTCACTGTGCTAACTGATTTTGTATGAACTTCTGTAAGCTGTCAAAGGTATCTGGAGAACTTAAGGAATCTGTTATATTCAAACTCCAAGGTTTCCTGCTTTGTTCTGAAGTGTAAGAAAGTCTGAAAGTCCACCTTCCCTTGTTGTCAGCATGTCCATCACTGCACAAAGAAGACGCACATCATCCTCACTTATGTATCTTTGTAAACGGACTTTCACCAAAAAAGGCACTTGTTCCTCTCGAGGGAATTTGCTCTGGTCTCACATTTCAAAGGATACGCCATAAAATGTTAATGCACTTATCTTCACGAGCCATGCACTGTTAAATAATGCACTGGTCGTAGGTCGTGCTGTTCTATGGAGTCTGAAGTCTGATCAAATGTCAGGAACCAAAGTATGGTTACAGTGAAGGAGTCAAACACACCTTCCTGTGTCTGTGGTTCAGCGGCGATGTGTATGTAGACCTTCAGCTGCAGAGCCGAGTCGAGTCCTGGTCGATTGACGCAAGACTGCAATCGTTCCATCACAATATGATGTGAAGATCTGGAGCAGAAGTGATTCATCGCTCGCCACACGCCCTCTTTGCATGTCGTCAACAGCTGTGGAGTAGTTTTCAAAATGACACGAGATGTCACTGTTTTTGTAAGCGGTTTCAATATTTCAAAGCACGAACGCACGCGCGTGTCATCACAGGAAGTTGTGGCGAGTCCCTTTCCTGTTCTTGTGCGCCAAGTACAAGAGACATAGAAACTTCCCTTCCTTTGTGAGGGGAGTCACACCCCAAACTGCGTTTGTGTGTCTGTCACAAGTGGGCAGCTGCCACTGTATGTGTGTGAACCGGTGACTAGCCGGAGCGTAGCAGCATCAGTGGCCACGCAGGCGGCGACTCTAGCGAGAGGGTTCATGGAGAACGAGGTAGGTTTTAAAAAAAAAAGAAAAAAAGAAAAGGCTTTGAGCTAGAAACATGAAGCCGTGGACACAGTCGATCAAGGCGTTAGTTAAGCACACTTAACTGAGCTAGTGTTGACATTTTACCAGTTGATACAAGCGGTAAAGTATTATATATTTGAGGTTTTAATGTGTATTCGGGGACATTTTTAGGAAAAAAATTTCTGTCTTGATTCGAATGTTACGATGTGATTATACATCATGTTGTACACTTGACTTCCACTGCAAGTCCCATCCAGTATTGCAAAATGCTGTCTCGATGTGCACATGCTATTGTTGACATTTGAGCAACACATATTGGGTGACACGGAGGGCTGTACATCTGCTGTGTCTTACTCCTGCAGGGTCAGCAGAAATTACAAGTACGAGTGCAACTACATCATATGTTTTCGATGGATATGAGTACTCCTGTAAATATGTGTAATATGCTATTGCATAGAAACGGATAACGCCAAAGGTTTCTAATTTAGAGTGTTTGAAATGTTATATATGCACAGTTTTGTGATGTCTCTCAACTCCGCTGTCTTTGTCTTTATTCTCCAGCCTGGTATCGTGTCTCCGTTCAAGCGAGTCTTCCTGAAAGGAGAGAAGGGGAGAGACAAGAAGGCCCAGGAGAAGGCCACCGAGCGCAGGGCACTCCACACCTTCTCACTCTCTCAGCCCGACCATCGCATTGACCCTGACATCCTGCTTAACGACTATATTGAGAAGGAAGTCAAAGTGAGTGTGACTGGCAGAGAGCTACACAAAGTCCCTACCCATGCATAAAACAACTCTAAAGTAAAACATTGTGTTCTGTGTTGTCCAGTACTTGGGACAGCTGACCTCCGTTCCAGGATACTTGAACCCATCAAGTCGCACTGAAGTGTTGCAGCTCATTGACAATGCACGGGTAAGTTTCTTTAACATGGTCCATCAGTAGGTTGCGCTCTCTTTTTCTTAGTTTTTCACATAACTGACATCATTGATTATATTCCTTATATATACACATATAAGTTCTCTTTCATGCAAAGAGACTACAGTTGATAAAAGCTTTAACGCTTCTGCTTATTCGTGGTGAACTGAAGTAATAAAGTTGTCAGATATTGAGGTTTCTATCATAACAGGTAGCATTACCCACAATGCATGCCTCTGTGTTTCTCAGAAGTCCCATCAGTTGGCAGGCCAGCTGACGTCAGAGCAGGATGCAGTGGTGAGCTTGTCGGCGTACAACATAAAGCTCGTGTGGCGCGATGGAGAAGACATCATCCTGAGAGTGCCCATCCACGATGTCGCTGCCGTCTCCTACATAAGGGACGACTCTCTGCACCTTGTGGTCATCAAAACAGGTAAAAAACAAAACATTTAAAGTGTGAAAATGTGTGAATGTGTTGATTTGGCTACAATTTGAGTAATTCAATTTGACTGTGTGCCGTTTTTCAGCCCAGGAGTCGGGAGGTTCTCCTTGTCCCAGCTCGTGTCCTGACCTCAACAAGTCTCAGACCCTGAGCTCCTTATCGGAGAGCGGAGCTGTGCTCGTGGAAGTCTGCTGTTTGCTTGTGCTGGCCGTGGATAACAAGGTAACAAGAGTTTCTTTCTTAAGTTCGGTTAGGTTTCACAGGTGGAACAAAACCTTTTGATCCCAGGTGCACACCAAATTATATTACTGAGATATCCTTAATGAGTTGAGATGTTGTCTCCTAGCCACCTGCTGTGCTGTTTCTCAAAGGTTCCCTCTGGAGCGTTTCTTTCGGGGAAGAAGACGACTGCCAGCTCGTAACACTGACTGTAAACTCTTATTTGTTGTCTCTTAGGCAGCAGCGGAGGAGCTGTGTCTTCTGCTCAGCCAGGTCTTTCAGATCGTTTACACAGAATCAACCATCGACTTCTTGGACAGAGCCATTTTTGATGGAGCAACTACACCTACCAGACACCTCTCTCTTTACAGTGGTAAAGCAAATACAGACTGGCTCTCTAGAGGAAAAACAAATTTGTGTATTCTTTACTCTGTGGAGTTTTACCCTCTTCTCAAGCTACTGAATTCTCATAACTTAGGTCAGATATGAACCTTAATAGTACTTTTTTATTTCTTTTTTTCTTCAGATGATTCTTCAAGCAAAGTGGATGTTAAGGAGGCCTTTGAAGAAGAAGCCGGCACATTGTAAGTCCACAACTGAAGAGCCGTACCTCGATGATTCTATATCGGGCACAGTGATCCAGAAAGATTTTGACACACTTCTGAAAGTGTTTTACTTCTGCTCGTCACTTACGAAGGATGCGTTCTTCTCTCAGTCCGTTTCAGGCCTCTATGGAGGCAGAAGGGAACTCTCCGTCAGCATCGACCCCAGCGTCCCCTCAGACCAAGACCGCGAGCGAAGGAGAGCTCAGCACCACGGCTGCCGAGCTGCTGCAGGACTACATGACCACAGTATGATTTCTTCGTCACTTTTGAGTATTTTTTTTTCAAGCTGTATTCATTCTCGTTTTGACTTTTACTACCTTTTTCTTCCCCCTTCTAGCTGCGGACCAAACTATCATCGCAGGAGATCCAGCAGTTCGCCACCTTGCTTCACGAATACCGCAACGGGGCCTCCATTCATGAGTTCTGCATTAACCTGCGACAACTCTACGGGGACAGCAGGAAGTTCCTTCTACTTGGTACGCCCACTGTGTTTAAGAAACGATGGTCTTGTCTCCTACGTGTAAATATGGGCTTGATGCCATGACCGTATGCGTTACAATGTGCCCCCCCCCCCCCCCCGCAGGCCTGCGTCCCTTCATACCAGAGAAGGACAGCCAGCACTTTGAGAACTTCCTCGAGACCATCGGCGTGAAGGACGGCCGCGGCATCATCACGGACAGCTTCGGTCGTTACCGGCGCACCGCCAGCTCCGCCTCCGACTCCACCACCAACGGCAACGGAGCGGCGGGAGGAAGCGCCGCCTCGGACGAGGGCCAGGAGGCCTCCGAGGGGGACGAATGGGACCGCATGATCACCGACATCAGCAATGACATAGAAGCTCTCGGCTGCAGTATGGACCAGGACGGAGCGACGCCCTGACGCGGTGAATAAAGGGAGCGGTGGACTCTTAATGGCAGCCGCTCCTCGAATGAACAGTAGGCATGAGCTGAGCAGATCAGATGAAGGGGGTCCTGAGCACTGACCTAAGATTTTGGTTAATTGTATTTTCCTCTAATTATCAAGAGGACGTTCCATTTTTCCCTACGCACTCAAGGAAAACCTCAACCTATTACCACAAAAACATGAAGTCAACAAATGCACTTATGCAGATCTGTTAGGTGACAAGCAGTCAGTTGGCTATTTTTGCAACTCGGAGGGATTCACAGCTTCTGATGTCGTTTTTTTTTTTTTTTTTTTTTTTTTTGTGCTCATTTATTGGCAGTATCTGCCACGGCTGTCAGCAATGTAGCGAATATCTGTTTTGAATACCCTCAGAGACTCTGGAGGATCCACCAGAGTCCACGTTTTGGAAGGTTCAGACTGAGGCTGTGCGTGTTTGTGCTATCGTTATACTATAGGTCACTCGGCTTCATCCACCAGGAGGACTTTGCTTATTTTCATTTATTTCACATTCTGTTGAGAGTGTAACATTTAGCTATATTTTGTTTTTCCAATGAGATTTGTGTACCACTTTGTTTTACACTATCCTTTGTTTACTCATTTTGATATATATATATTTTTGCCTTATTCAAACTGTCCAAGGAAATGCTGTAAAAACAAAACTTCTCTCTCAGTTAAAGCGACTGAATGGGGGACTGTATTTGACAAAGCCATTTAGGCTGAAGTACATCTGTTTTTGTTCTCATGCAGGTCATCTTGTCTTGTGACATTACATGTATCTGTCATTGTGCCTTTACACTGCAGTACTGCTGCCAACTGTCTGTCACCCACAGACGGGTAATTATGAACTGTAACTACAGTTGTTGAGCAAATCATGGTTATTAAATAACGGCTACTTTACGATCTGTTTTTGTTGATTGTTATCCTTCACACCCGTCTGCAGCGTTATGAGCAGTTTTTAAATGAGACTGGCCTCCTCGTCCGATTTGACTTTCGTACAGCGAAACTGTCACTTCACAAGGGGTGAAAGTTTGATCTGGTTATTATCCTCTCTGGCTGATCATTTGCTTGGATGCACTTAAGCTGCTGTGGAACTTCAGTCTGAGTTACATCAAAGCAATCATGCCAGATGTTTCCCCTCAAAGTTGGCGATTAGTTTTGTAAGTCTTGAGCGACGAGAAATTGGCGGGACAGTTTTGAGTTGAGCACATTCCAGACTTTCACAGATCTACCGTTAGGAGTTTCCTCAGGAAGTTTTAAAAGTACAGGACTGGAATAGGTTGTCTCGTGTTTATTGTGAGACTGGAGCACAGACAGGAACACTACACCTCGGGTTCAAATGGCCACTCTGGCTTGAGACACCGTCTGCCTCGAATAGAAGGATGAGATCATCACGAAGCCGATGATCTCACCGAGAAAAGACGGAGTCTTTCTCGTGACACAAGCGGACTGTTTGTGGTTGATTCACGGCCGCGTTGCGTCATTGTTGTGGAGCAGAGGGAGAGTAAATGATTGTTTTTGACATGGTCTCGCTGTAATTGGACCGTGTCTGCTTTCTCACAGCGCTTGGTGAACTCCTAATTGGGTCTCCTGTAAATTCTCTTAATTCAGTTTTAGCAGGATGACTCCTCTCGGTGCCTCGATTGCAACATGTAATTATTAAATAGATCAGTCGGTCTAATTAAGGCATTAAAAGATCCCATGCTGCTTTATAAAGACGTCGCCAATTATCTTTACGACTTCAGCCCCTGTAGTGCCTCCCATCACGTTGCATGGTCGTGACTCATGAATAAGAGTCAGAGAGGTGTTCATTTACTTGTTTCATCGAGAAGATCATGATTGCCATGAAAGCTATCTGAGAAACACAGAGGCATGCATTGTGGGTAATGCTACCTGTTGGGATAGAAATTTTGAATATCTGACAACTTTAATATTCCAGTTTACCACGAATAAGCATAAAATGTAGAAGTCTGACTACCCTGGGTGGGCAAAATGGTTGTTTGAGATGGTGATCGACACACAAAGTCAACTGTAAATATCCGTTAAAATAGTATTTAATGCAATTTTAAACTAATTCAAAAAATATATAGATTCAAATTTATACAAAAAAGGCAACCCTTGATTCACATTCAAGGCCCACTAGCCAAATCTCACACAGAGTACGAAGCCTAAGCCAAAATGAAAAGGAAACTGCGAGCAAGGAGCTTTTCCCCCAAATTAATATCCAACATGGAAAGCTGTGGTCTACCTGCTATTTTTAGCTTAAGGACATGTTTAATACGTGTCCAGGAGCCGGTCCAAGTGTTCCCCTGACCTTTTATACATCTTTCTTCAACAGCCGACACAGTCGGAATCAGTGTCTCGACACTCCGGGGGTTTAATTGTGTGGTCAAATTTAAGCCTCTGCAAAATGTCTGATGTGCTGGTCTCAAAATGTCTCGTCCTTACAGCAAATCCTCGCTGTAATGGAACGCACCGAGACACTCCTACACAAAGGCTCGGCGTGAAGACGCCGTCTGGGATTCTCGCCATGTCTCACCCTGCGGTTCACCTTGGTGAGGCTGCTGCCAGTCAATCATGGCTGTGTCTGCAGCTCAGTCCGTGGTGAGAACAGCATCTCTCTGGTGTTGCATCTGTTATGTTCCTGGAACAGGATGACTGCTACATTCTTGTGAACATCAGAAAAACGGCTCTTGTCAGACAAAAGGTAGCAATAGACTGCATCATTCTTTAAGATACATTGTTTTTGCCCAAATCATCCTAAACCAAACTTCTGCATCAGGACGCCGGCCTCTGCAGTGTGTGGTATTCATGCTTCAGCAGCAGAGATGGCGTCTGATTTGTACGCCTTTCAATTTATTTTGTCATGCAAATGAGATCGTTTAGGCATGAAATTATGAAAACGGCAGACTCCAGGGACAGCTGTTATGCAGAACTGGAATCTAAACGAGCACAAGCGACTGGAACAAACTTTCTTTGATTTAAAAAAAAATTGTTGCACAATGTTTATCACATTATTTTCATTTTAATGCACTTAGTGTACATTTGCTTTCAGCAGTGAAGCCCACATAGAGCTGGAGCTCATGCATGAAAATCTCCACTTCAGGCCCTCCAGATGGAGAGAGACGCAGTGTTACACTGACTGTCACATGCGAAAAACACATGACCCCCCCTTGCTCATGTCTTCACCCCCCCCAACCTGTGGGGGCCCCAGTCATCCCCAAATTTTTACACAAGGCCTAATGCAGCGTGCACAGATGACGGCTATTTGCAGAACAAAGGAATTGGGAACAATGACAGAGAATGAGAAAAATGCGAGGCTCGTGAGGAAATGGTGTGCGATACCCAATTTGTTCCATTTTCCAAAGCTTATAGGAATATTTTGACATGTTGGGTAATCGCATCCACATCTTCTTAATTGCACATGACTCATCTGCTGGCTCCTCCCATGGTTCAGTGAGCCCTTTAATACAGTGTTCTAATGAAAGACTTACCACGAGGAAACATAGGTGAGATTTTTGTTCTGCCAATTAAAGAATGAAAAAGTAAAGCATACATCTTCAATTGATTTTTTTATTTATTTCCAGTACATTTGTGTAATCATACTAGCACTAACAATGGCCCATTTAAGGTATTATATTTGACCAAACCAGCATTAAGGTATGTTCCAGTCTATTATGGGCTCAGTAACACAAGATCATGTTGACATACTAGTTGTTTTCTTGCCAGGTGGCATTGTGGCTCACTGTTCATGGGACACTGCTGAGACAAAGGCTTGACGATTATGTTGAAGCAGTCTGAGTTGTGTAGACACAGTATTAACCTTGTAATTTCAGTGGTTGTTATAAGAGGCAATCAACTTTATCGGTACCACTGTTGTGGAAAACAAATTGGATGGTGAGGCAGTGAGTTTAAAGCTGTGGTTTTGTTCAGATTGTATTAAATCTGGGCCACAACCCTGAAACTCAGTTTCTTGTTGCACGGTCTGTGCATTAGGACTATAGGTCACTTAACTTTCATATGCTCACATTTCAAATTGCAGACCCCCACAAAGAAAATGAGAGGAGAGGTTGCCTCCAATGTTAGATCTCATAACAAGATCCACATAGTCGTGTAATTTCATGTTTAGCCATGAACTAAACTTTCAGACAAACAATGCCATCTCAAACAGCCACTTCCTGGCTGGAACTCAACAATTAGGGCATCAAAAGGGCAGAGCTCTGGCCAAGAGCTAAATACATCTTTTACTTTTAAGGAGTGGACTTCAGCAAATTACTGGAAACCATTGTGAGGTCACCAACTAGTCCATTATGACAATAGCGACAAAGAATAACTAATTTTCATACAAAAAAAACAATACTACTCGCTAACACAAATATGCACTTAGTGTACAATTTGTATCAACATTAAGGCTTCTTTTGAAAAGCACAACACATTTAGATTATGGTGCAGTACGTGGAAAGAAAAATATTCTTTCCACACTGAAAACATCGTACAGAGAGAATACCACAGAAACCTCGAAAGCCCCAGAAAACAACCAAAGTATATGGAAATATACTATATAGGGTAACTGGTGACAGTATAACTGATAAGGGTTAAAAGAAAGTGGACAGGAATAAGCTTGAGATGCTTCACTGTAGTTTAAAAACAGCAAGTATACTGTTTCAAGTCATGATGGCCTAAAGGTCTAAAATCTGCTGTGGTTTTCTGTATATAGCTGCCAAAGCCATGTATAGTCTAGAGGAAAACACACAGTATATGTACCTACTGCACTCGTTCTAAATAATACACATTACCTAAATCTCTCTCTTTGATTATAGGGACTGTAAAAACAGACGTTACATCTAAGTTCATCCTCACTACATCGTGGTCAAGAGGATTTCACCACAATCTCACAAACGGCCAGGATTGCCATGTTGCACTGGACCAAGGATAGTATTAGACAGGCTGCTCTGTTGTTTGTTTTTTTTGGGGGGGGGGATTTTCTTCCTGAATGCCATAAACTGCCACTAGCAGAGGGAGAAACGTCGGGAGTTAATGTTCATCTTGGTGACGCCGATGAGTCTCAGCGGGGCCGAGAGGCCGAGGCCCGGCGTGACCGGGCATTCGCACAGCAGGTCGGACAGCTCGTCCCGCTCCTCGAGGCCAAAGGTGGCGTCGTTGAGCATCCGGCGATGCAGGTGGCACGTCTGCTCGATCTTCAGCTTGTTGATGTCGTTGCGGAGCCGCATGAGCTGCCTCGCCAGCTGCTGGTCCTGCAAGCGCATGTCAGTCTGACGGAGAGAGAGAGAGAGAGAGAGAGAGAGAGAGAGAGAGAGAGAGAGA